ATGGTCTCTAAGGGTAGACTTTGGTACCCCAAACTTCTGAGAAGCAGCTAAAACTGACGTTTTCTTCTCTTTAATAGCTGATATAGCAGCAATAAGGCCTTCTTTAGAGTAAGTCTGGGGTCTTTTTCTCTTATAATTTCTGACCATAGCCAACCATAGCCAACAGCCAAACAGCACGAGGACTCTATCTGACCACACCTAGTGCTGCACAGTCCAGCCCCTCCCCTTTGCATTGAGCAAGCAAAAAATAATGATAAAAACCTTAAAAGGTATTTGGTAAAACGATAAATCCCATAAAATTGTTTATAATGTTCCTGGATATATGCAAAAAATTGTTTTGAGTAGCCTCAGTACAAATAAACTAATCAAATTTACTGTAAACAGATTTTTTTGAATTGCTTTTTTTGGTCCGCGAGGAAAATCTGGTTAGTGTTAACTATCTATCTGATTGCATCACATCAAAAACTAATTTGAGCTCTGCTAGTGACCTAATTAAGCCATTAATGCATAAGAAAGTTGCCTTGAAGCCGAGTTTGAAGCTGAACTTTGGTCTTTTCAGAAAATTAACGAAATTACCCCATAACCGGAAATGCCCCGCCCTACGTTATATATATTTGTATGTCCACACTTACATTTCTTCTATACATGTTGTATTGGAGAAATAACAAGCCTTAGCAACCACCCGCCCACGCTCCTTTACGTGAGTGGGTGTGGTCACGGCTAACAAAATGGCGGCTTACACATGGGACAAAGTTAAGAGCTTTCTAACAGCAAGAGAACATAAAGATACTGTTTAAAAACTTCTCTAGAAGCATTTGAAGGTAGAGAGAACCTCTATAAGTCTTAATAATGACCAAGTTGTACTTGCAAAGTGGTGAAATCAATTATAGGAATATTTTTTACACTGTTACGCTTGTTTTGTAGATTGACTAATTAAATTCATGTCAGCAAGGAGTACACAATGAGTCGTGGTGCATGGTGGGCTAGCTGGTAACAACGCCAGGTCAATGAATCTAATTGACTGAGATGTCGACGAGGATGTCGAGCAAGAAGGTCACGAAGCTAGTGTCGTTAGAGGACAAGTGTTGGGATGCATTTGAGAATAAAGATTATGAAAAGGCTGTTTGCTTACTACCATTAGTGAAGAAACCAAAAGATTTGGCTAGGGGTATACTGGAGGTATATAATGCTAGTTTAATTCATTTGTCTTCACAAAATGGCTGGTTACATGTTACAAAAGACCTCATCACTAAATATCACTGTAATCCACACGAAAGAGATAGTAAGCGTCAGACTTGTTTTCATTATGCTGCAGCAAGTAATCATGTTCATCTGATGAGATATCTCATTGATGAGTGTCACTGTAATCCAATGGCTGTTGACAGGGATGGGTGGACACCTCTTCACCTTGCTGCTTACAGTGGTAAATCTGCTGCTGTTGAATATTTACTATCAACTGGTAAATGTGATCCATTGGCTAAAAGCAATGGTGGGGACACACCATTTAAACTAGCTAAGGGGAGAGGTAACACTGATACCCTTTCTGTCATGAAGAAGTTTGGTGATATAAAATCATCTCATCCAATTGATTCTTATGTTAATGTCCTCCTTGTGGGTAATCCTGGAGCTGGTAAAAGTACTCTTAGTCATGTCATCAATGACACAGCTAGTTTTACTCTTCTTGGTTCCTTTAGAAATGTTGGAGGGGTAGTGCCCTGTACTGCTGGCATCATTCCTCATAAACTACAACATAGGACACTGGGTAACATCATTCTTCATGATTTTGCTGGGCATTCCGAATACTACTCCAGTCACAGTGCTGTCATTGAGAATCTGTTACAAGGTTCTGGTGGTGTGTTCCTGATAGTAGTCAATATATTGGAGAAGGAACCAATCAAACAGCTTCATCAGTGGCTAACAGTTGTGAGAAATGAAGCACAGAAAGCTCTTAATCAATGCCATGTTATTGTAATAGTCAGTCATGTAGATGAGGTAAGTAATCCTGTTGAAAGGAGAAAAAGAAAGGAAGAAATACAGAATATTATTGTAAGGGAAAGGTGTGATAGTATCTTCTTAGATTGTCGTAAGCTTGGTGGGAGTGGTATGGATTCATTCTTTAATAAGTTGTCTAGTACCTGTGAGTCCATTCGTAGTACAAGTGGAAGGAATTTGAGTCTTTATTGTCACATGATGTATGGTCTACTGGAGGAAAGGAAAAAGAATATACTGACCCTATCTGGTGTAATGTCTGCTGGTAAAGACAGTGATGATTACTTTATACCAAATAAGAGAGAAGATGTCTTGGATGTTCTTCATTCGTTGCACTCAATTGGTTTGATCAATGTTCTTAAAAGTGAAGACAAGGTATGGGTTGTTGTGAATAAAGGTATACTACTAACTGAGGTGGATGGGATTCTCTTTGCTCCAGAGACATTTGAAGAACACGTTGACATTGCTAGCAATACTGGTATTGTTAGAGTGTCTGGTCTGACTAGACTCTTCTCTAAATATGATCCTGACATGTTGATTCGTTTTCTAAAGAACATGGAACTCTGTGAAGAAATTAATCCATCTTTCCTAAGAATGACAAACCTCCATCAGTTAGCAGTGGAAGAGGAGGAGGAGGGAGGGAGAGAAAGAAGAGGAGAAAGGTTGTTGCACTTTCCATGTCTTTTGTCTACTGATAGACCTGATGAGATGACTAGTCAAGTGTACCAGTTCGGTTGGTGTCTACAGTGTACTAGTAAACATCATTTCTTTCCTCCTCGATACTTCCACGTCCTCTCATTACGTCTTGCTTACAAAATGGCTCTACCTCAAGAAGATGACCAGTTAATGCGATGCTGTACATTTTGGAAGAATGGACTTTATTGGTCTAATAGTCATGGTGTAGGATCACTGGTAGAGATTGTGGACGAGAGCCAGTGTGTACTAGTAATGATGTCCTGTGAGAAAGGTTACAGAGACAATATGGTGTCTCTAAGAAGAGATGTGATAGGAAAGGTAATGAGTGTTTATAAAGAATCCTGTCCCAGTCTAGAGGTAAAAGAGTTAGTTATTGATCCTAAAGAACTAGCCTATCCTGTGAATACACCAAGAGAAAGGACAGTGTATAGTGTAAAAGATGTGATGTCTGCTATTGTCAAGAGGAAAGAGTTTTTAGTAAATGCTACTGGTACTAGATGTACAAGATTGAAGGAGATCCTAACTGATGAATCATTATCAGATATTAGCAACTTGTCACTATTAGGAGG